CCAATGTTGGCAGTACCTCAAAGCTGGTATTCTAAAGTGCTTTCCTATGGTTTTGCTGCACCCTGTCATAGGACATCTTTTTTGAAGAACTGTCAGACAGGATGTTGAATTGGTTCACTCAGTTCTCCCTAGAGCCAAACTACTTCTCTCTGATGCCATCCCCCATTGTTTGTTAAAGGTGAATCAAATGCACTAACCCAATCAAGTTAAAGGGGACAGTCGCCAAGAAGATACCTAAAGTAGGACAGCAGAGTTGTAACTACAATTCATAGGGCCCTCCAGCAACCTTTCTTTGTGGAACATGGCAGTGTTAATTGGAATAGTAGTGTAATTGATCTGAAGTGTATGTTCAGCCAACTTTTTTTTTCTAAGTTGGTGATGGAGTGGGGAAGGAGTATAACCCCTGTCATGCTTTCGCTGCTATGCAGGACTCCGCTAAAGAGATTTTTCCTCAATTCTTGTCTTGCTGACAACATTTTACCAGAAAGAAAGTGAGGGAATCTCTCCAACAACAGTACAGACAGGAATAAATATGATTTTTTTTTTTAGTTGAGTAGGGGAATGCTAAAGCCCCTCTAAAATCATATTTGGATGGAACCCACCCAAGGAACTGTAATGTAATTTAGCAGCGGTCGACATCTGGCTGATGTTTGTTTACAAACATCAGCAGGAGGTTTGGGTGGGCAAACTGATTTAATATGACTAGTTTGTTTAACTGTCCGAACTCATGTTTGACCAGAATTGGAAGCTCATCCATAACCGTTAGTGCTCCTATGCACAATTACTGTACAACCTTAATTCAAACTTTAAAATGCAGCTTGCAGAATTCGAAACCTCAAATGACCTTTTGGTTTAGTAGATACTCTGGGATATTTTAGCCTCAGGAAGGCCGTGTTAGACACACAGGGTTATTATCAGACAGCTGGTCAGGATGACCAGAAGGAAACACATTTACTCACAGATAGGGAAGAGAAAGGGAGAACTGTGGCTAATGACAGCATGATACCAAAGTATCCACTTGTACGTCTTTGTGTCACCTGATTGTTTGTTGCCTCAACATCCTCGAAAGTGGGCCCCACTCCCAATGCGGGGGCTGCTATGGCTATAAGTATGCCACTGAAGGACAGCAAGCATGTAGTAAACAGTGTATCATTGAACAGCAAACTTTATAATCCTTCCAATTGCTGTATAACTGTCCAGTGTGAACTTTGGGATTGAACCAGAGCAGTAAACTAATAGACATGCACAGGGCAACAACGTTTGAGCTTTTTGCACTACTAGAAGAATGATAAGCTGGAATACTTAAAGCTACAAATGTGATTTAATAGTGCTGTTTTAAAGGGAGGATCCTGGGCAGCTAGGAATGTTTTCTGTTTATTAAGAGATTAGCGCATTTACAGTGATTGAACCATGATAAAGGTTTTAATATACAGGCAGTCTGACATTGATGGATATTGTGTGTACATAGTGCAAATTCTGAACAGATGTTTTGTTAGATATCTGTTTATGTGTAATGGTTAAATGTGCTTTAGACATATCCAAAAATATATCTATCTATATGTGTCATATGTTTGGATCTACAGTATATGTTTTATGTACATTATTAACAAGGAAGAATCTGTTTTCAGATGTTCATTTAAAAAATGACACCATGCGCAAAATGCAGATTTAAAATAAGTACAGAAATAGAAAAAAATAGAAAGTAACATGGTTGCAAAACGTGTTTCCATCTGAACTCATAACTACTAAACAAATGGAGCGAAAGCAGAACTACACTCAAAATGTCCTTCGGCATTATGGTAAAATGTCTCATCAGTGAGGTAGACTCTTTGGAAATATCTACAGTATGTATTGCTATGGAATATGCATTAAGGTGGTTGCTGTCACAGAAATGCTTCAAGCATACTTCAGAAATTTATGAATATTACTGCTCATACAGTGCAGACAATACATTTACAATTATACTCTGCTAACATGAATGGATTAAATGATCTGTATGTAGCCCTGTACTATGGATCATTTAACCCATTCATGTTAGCAGAGGATAATTGTAAATGTATTGTTGCAGGCACTCTATATGTACAAGTACTATATACGACATATAGAGTGCACTGCAACAATAGATTTACAATTATCCTCTGCTAATATGAATGGGTTAAATGATCCATAGTACATGATATGTAGCCCTGTACTACGGATCATTTAACCCATTCATGTTAGCAGTGCAGAATTGTATATCTATATGTACTGTACATATACAGCACAAATGTCCCGTACATTGCATTAGATTTACAATGATCCCCTGCTAACATGAATGGGTTAAATGATCCATAGTACAACTACATGTTATGTACTATTATGTACTATGGATCATGATTTAACCTATGCATGTTAGCAGGGCAGAATTGTAATTCTATTACTGCAGTGTACGGGACATATGTACTGCGGATCATGATTTAACCTATTCATGTTAGCAGGGCAGAATTGTGAGCGCAAGCTGAGCATCGAGATGCGATGCAGTGATCCTGCCCAGCGCAGACTACGAGAGGCACCACGTGAGGCAACAGGGATCGGCATGAAACGGTGAGTGAGGGAAGCTGGGACGAGGCTGGCTGTAAATCTATTGCTATAGTGTACTGGACGTGTGTAATGTATATGTAGTACATATATACAGCACACACCTCCACTACACTCCAGCAATAGAGTTACAATTCTCTGCTGCTAACATGAATAGGTTAAATCATGATCCATAGTACAGAACATGTAGTTGTACTATGGATCATTTAAAGTCACCTGTCCCTTTAAGTATCAGTAATTGGTATCGGCAAGTACATGAGGGGAAGTACTTGTACTTGGGCCTGAAAAAGTGGCATCGGGACATCCCTATATTCAATAAAAGATTTAAATGTATTTTGTCACAAAACTAACATAAATACATGAATTTGATATTCGATTCTTCTCTACCCATGCACAACATCACTTTAACTGGTTAAGTCAGAGTTCGCAAATCTGGGCTCTACTCTTTTTTTCCACAGTACTATCAAGCTAGCACAAAGAACACCCTCACAGGGAAGAAGCATATGATGAGCTGATCAAGATGTTGTTCATTCTCCAATCACAGGCTGGGCTGGGTAATGGATCTGGATTATTTATATGCAGTGCAGTCTGCAAAAGGTCACAGACCTGGCTGTGCTGTTTAGTTCATAAGACTGGCCAAACAGACTATTTTGGCAGGAAACAGAGTTTGCATGGAAGCATTTCAGCTCTGAATTGTAAATGTAAGATACCTTCTCTTGCTTATCTCTAGTTTCTCTAGAAATAACAACTCTGTTTATGGTGCATAGCTTCTCTTACTAGCTAGAAGCATTTACTAGCTAAATCTTGAAATACTGTAACAAAGTATTTGCAGTTTTTTTCCATGTACAAAACATTAAATTATTTTATTTACAGAAATACCTTGGAAGAAATAATTTACCCACAGATATACTTGGGGCAATTTTATCAAAAAAGCAAAAATAAATAAAGTTCAGAATTTAAATAATAGAGTTTTCCTATATTTACCTATTGATTTTATTTTACACAATTGTGCTTAAACATGTGATGACAAACACTGCTAATTTAGCCTCAAGCTCAGGTTTTTCCCTTTGTTACTCTGAACAATATCTAATTTCAAGGGTGCTATTAAACAATTACTTGTTACCTAGGACAACATTAAACACATTAAGCATGAAATAAACAAAGGATATAATTAAGGTTATTCTGATAAGTACATTTGCTCCTTCCCCTACACAGCTCTGTACTTGCTATACCTGAAATAGAGATCCAAGTGCAGAACGTTGCTTTTATATCAGTGCTTAAGAAGGGTGTTCCCTCATTGCCATCTCTTTATCTCCCTGTGTATGCCCCTTTGTGCCTTTCCCCTACGTATGTCCCACTCTCCCAACCATTTGGTCCCCATTGAGTTGTAGATGCTGCTCAATGCCTTGGTGTCTTTTTGTGGCAGGGTCACTTGATGTGGCATCAGGTTGCCATGATCACATATTACAGATTGTCTCTAAGGACAGTCTGATGCTTCAGCCAGCTAGCATTTTGTCAAGTTTTAGTCCACAGTACCAACACTAGAGGAAAACTTAGAAATTATGGAGAAAACAGGAAATGTCTGAATTAGTGAGTTTCAGCTGCCATTTTAGGCAGGTCTGCAAGCTTTTCAATAATGTCTGCCTATAGAAAAACCTGACAGCCATGCTTTGATTGGCTTGTGTGTGGATTGTGAATGCCATTGGTCATGTTAGGGGAAATATGATAGGCAGCAAAACCTGTGTAGAGTGTCAAAAGAAAATCCCAGAAAACAGCAATTAAGGAACAGGGAGCTTAAAAAATGCATAGTTATATATTACTGTGTAGCAATGGTTTCCTGGAGATACTGAAGTACGACATGGTACGACTCTAAGCACTTTGCTGCATGAGAACATTATGCCAGAAAATACCAGTTAAATGGCAACTCTTCCAGAATTGTGTTGGTCAAACACCAAGCTTCTGTACAAGGCCTTTGCCAATCCCAGCAATCTCATAAAATATATATTTATTTAATTGGCAAATTAGCTCTTATTGCTGGTTTCACCATCTGTACTACATCCCAACCCCCCTTATAACTTTTATGTAACAGTTTATCTCAGTCACGATACAGTGTATTGTACCCATCCCCTCTATAGCAGTTTTCTCCAAGCAATACTTTTATTTTTAAAACAAGCAGTATTGAATAAATTAGTTTGATTTGTACAAGATTTAGCATTTACTAAACTTTAAACTATCATTTAGTTTGATAACCTAGTATGTTAGCTTTTTAAAATTAAGTAATGTTGGCTTTTTAAAATTAAGTAATGTTGGTTTGTTTATTTATAAAGGTTAAAAGAATAAAGTAATGTGACTCTTTAAATTAAACTCAATCAATTAGGCTATTGCCTAATGTATTATATATACAGTATATATGCGCAACTTACCAGGTTCACTTCAATAGTTTTCTCCCAGTCTTTCTCATTATTAACGCCAGCATTATTTACCAATATGTCCAGCCTTCCAAAATGTTCCACTGTTCTCTGAAAGGCATCTAAAAATTATCAAAAGAAAAAGTATGTATCAAAATGTTCGAAAATAGGTGAAAATTATTTGCTATTTCTAAAAGGCTGAAGGCTACACTTTCTGATTGGTTTTCATATAGAAGTATATCTTAGGTATATCCATATATCAAAATAATAATGTGAACATGTCACATAGTTACATAGTATTTGAGGCCGAACAAAGACATTAGTCCATCAAGTCCAACCTATTAGGATCTCATTCTAGGATCATGATGAATGTATAAGGAGATATTACTTTAAGTTAAAAACAGCATATTAAAATAACCAGTAGATCTAGAAAACCAGGCAGGTGAAATGATATGCACATCTTGACTTACTTGCAAAACTTGATTGTAAACAACTAGCTTGAACTAATCCATTCCCTCCTAGCCAGCTTCCCTATCCTCGAATGCATATTTCTTATCCTAATTTAACTACCTCCTGACCAGTTATTGTCGATCCCATCAACTAATGCCTGTTATCTCACTATTATTAGAAAGCGCAGATTGTGGCAAAAGACACTAAGGCAATCAATGTGGTCCTGTGGCTTGTGATCGCTGTTATGGCCAAGCACAATGACTACAGATGTAAACACTGCATGTGTGTTTACCTCTCCTTCCTTTCAGAATAGTGATTAAGGATCCTCACACTGATCATGGAGAGCAAACAGAGGTTAGGCCCTCCCCGGGATCTCCTGACTGAGCCTGGCTTGGCACCCAAGGAAGGAAGGAAGGTGAAAGAGGGATTTTTGCAGCCTATCAGTATAAGTTTAGGAGATGGTATTGTAGTTACAATACTTTCCTTTGAATGAATGAAGAATTATAGAATTGAAATAGTTTTCTGAAATTAGCTACAGTATACAAAAGGCTGGGGATGCACCAATACCAGTTTTTCGGTATTGAGTACGAGTACAGATATTTTTTTCCGGTGTTCGCCGATACCGAGCACCGATACCGGTGTTGTGTGCCCCAATTATTAGGCAGTTGGGCGGCAGGTCATGACCCGCTGCCCAGCTTCCTGATTGCCTGGGAAGCCAGTGTTCTATTGAAAGAACACCAACTTCACTTGCCGAGGCTGCCTGGCTTTCTGACCAATCAGGAAGCCGAGTGGCGGGTCTTGAGGTGATATCCAACTTTTTGATTGGTCAGGAAGCCAGGCTGCCTAGCAACAAGTAAATCTGACTTCCTAACCAACCAGGAAGCTGGGCGGCACGCCATGACCCACCTCGCCGGCTTCCTGATTGGCTTGAAAGCTGGCTTCTCTTGTTGCTAAGCAGCCTGGCTTCCTGACAAATCAGGAAGCAAGGAGGTGAGTCATGACATGCTGCCGGCCTTCATGATTGGTTAGGAAGCTAGGCTGCCTACCAACAAGTGAGATCCAAGCCTGTGATGTGTGTATATATACATTATATATTTTGCAAATAATTCTGTTATCAAAGTGCTCTAGAAAGAAGGGATGCACCGATACCATTTGTTCCAGACCGAGTACAACCATCAATACTTTTCCTCAAGTACTCACCGATACCTTATTATAGTGTCATGTGACAGTTTTTCTAAAACAGTACAGACTAATGATTTTAGGACAGTGGTGGAGCACCAGGGTCCGGTCACAGCTGCAACTGCTGTGACCCTGGTAGTTCTGCCACTGACTCCAAGCTGTACGGGGACTACAAATCTCATCAATACATTATACAGCAATACAGAATAATACCATCAGCTATAGTGGAGTACATATCCCAGCAATACATTATACTGCAATGCAGAATAATATGAAGCTACATACTCTGCGCTGTTCCAGGGTGCAGGCCTGATGTATCCAGCATAGGGTCACTCAGGAGGGCTGTGTGGGGTTTCAGGAGGGCTGTGCAGGGTCTTGCTGTGTGGGGTCTCAGGAGAGCCATGTAGAGTATTAGGAGAGCTGTGCGGGGTATCCAGAGAGCTGTGCAGGGCCTCAGGAGGATTTTGTGGGGTCTTTGGAGAGCTGTGCAGAGTCTCAGGAGGGGTCCGGAGGGTCACGCGGGCAGGTGCAGATGGCGAGGTTCCAGAGGAAGGAGGAGGAAATGTGTGGGCTGGCGCTGTAAACAGGCACCACGTGGTTCACAGGAGGGCTGCCGAGGTCCCCAGCAAGCGGGGGACCTCAGGCAGTCGCTACAGTTAAAAAATTTAAAGCGCTAGTATCAGCGGTTAAAATCAGGGCATTTTCAAGTGGAAGAGTACTTGTGAAAATGCCCAGTATCGGCACTGATACCAGTATCGGTTCATCCCTATTAGAAAGAATTCAAATGTTAACATTTTGCGTCCCAGAACTGAGAACAGTTTTAGGGGGGGGAAAAAAAGCTCAATTATGCCCATTACTATTACCATTTCTGTGTATGTGATTTTAACTTGAAATAGCATTTTCACCCTCTGTCTGCAAATCTTTTAAATATTGTTGCATGGTTTGTCTGGTAATTATTAAAAGCTACTTTATAAAACTGTGAACTTTGCACTGCTATGAAAAAATACATAACCAATCAACTTCTTTCTCCGCTTAGTAGTACCTCTTAGTTGTTCCTGGTCTGTGACATCACATTGGATAAACATTGTCCTGTGACTTCCAAACTGCTCATCCAAGGAAGCTTTGCACTCTTCACCAGATATGCGATTCTGATCCACCATTACCAGCTGTATAAAGAGAAAATCAAGTCAAAATGCTATTTGCGGAGACTTAATGGATTGAAAAGAACTTCAGAATACATTTTAAAATACGTATATCATCTGTTAAAAAAACCCCCAAAAAACAAAAACAATACACATGGATTAGCTGTAAAAGTAAAGGGTTAGGCCAAACCACAGGTTTTGGGTAGAAGCACCCTGCAGTTGGCTTCTGCAGTTTGCCCAACCATTGGTGCCATTATAAGGCGGCTTTCACTATCTTTATATTGGAACTTTATCAGATATAATGTTAGCTCGTGCCACAAAACACATCAGGCCTGATATACTATTAGTGGTGCATAGTGCAAAACAGTGACCAGGAGATTATGTTAACAAATTAACAAAAAAGCTGCAAAGTGTGACAAACTGTGTAATATATCACAGTGGCAATATATTTTATAAATTTAGTTTGGTATAGTGCTGCACTATGGTGCATTTGTTAATTATAACACACAAAACTGCAAGACAAGAGCAGCTTCTCACACTGCTAGATCTATTTTTTTCTGTGCTTATACCTCCTATGGTTTCATCTTGAATTTTTACCATTTCAATTCTTTGTCTCCATGATGAGATAATTCTTCATTTTTATGCACATTTTCATGCATTACTTCCCCACAGGAATCACTACAGGTCTGGTATTCTTTTCTAAGATGACCCAGAACTGCCATTTCAATCCTGCTTTGCTGTGCACCACCTGTAGTGAGGACATGTGGTGGATATCACATGCTTTATGACATATTTCTCTTTAATAAAAACAAATTCCTTGTTTTTGTTAATTTAATTAGCTTATATTATGTTGCATGGATACAGGCCGTTTATTCTTGGTTCATCAGTCTGGATCACAGTGCTTGTTCGGCTTTACAGCAATATAAGACAGGGGTTTTATGCTTGGAAGAGATCCACCATCACACCTGCTGTTACTTACAAATATTGATGCTAGGAATTCATGAGTGCTGACAAGTGGACATAATTCTCCCAGCTAATGAAAATACCTGGCCTAGAAGCTGAATTCCTGAGCATCAACACAATGCTGTGTCTATTATGAATGTTCATACAATATGTTGCCTATATAACTGATTAGAAAGCATAAAGCACCTGTGATGGATACTAAAAAGAATAGTAAAAATATTAAAGCTAAAATAAGAAATAAGAAACAGTTCATCAATGCTATTTGTAGGAGCTATAGAGAGGACAAGTTATTACATAGATCGATTACATAGATGGTTCATTTGGATTCTGGCTGAAAGTCTCATTTTTGTGTTCAGGTGTGAGGTATTCAGTAATTTACTGGACATGCTGGTTTTTCACCATTGCACGGGCATGTCCAATTTTATGGCTTGACTTGTTTGGTATCTATTTACTCAACTGTACCTCATCTTTTATATTTTACAAAAAAATGAAATTATATTGTGTTTGTGTGCACTAAAATTATTTTCATTCATTTTTATTCAGTAATAATATGCATTTTTTCCTAAAAATATGGATTTGATAAACATTTGCGCAAATATTGTGCGACAAAAGCAATTGGTGCTACCATTATTTTATTTTACAGGGCCTCTGATTTGAGGAAATATATAATGCCTCCTGTCTTGAAGTGGTTAAAGAAGCCTTATCAAGATAGTAATATGGGAAATGTAATTGATAACTTATTTTGAAGGGGACTCCCTTATCCAATATCTATAGGCTGTAAACTGTGGTACTTTACTTATTTATTTGTCTTATCTTTCAATAGCTTATGTAAACAGTGAACCTACTGAAAGGTAGGGTGCAGAAGACATCCTGCCACGGTTTCCTGAAATCCTAACACCCCTTTCTAAAATTCTGCAAATGGTGTAATAAATCCCACTCCAACATGCACAGGAATTTCTGTTCCTACCAGCAAATGTTAGGAACTTGCATCTGCCAAAATCTTTCTTTCAAAACTATTTTTCTAGCTTTGTTATTTCATGCAGTCAAGTCTAGTTCACTCTGCAGTCTACTTGAAAATTGGACATATGTCAGCACTTTGATTTTATCTTCTCATAAACAGCATTTGTGTTTTGGTGTTCCTTTTTGCTCAGCTTTTTACATGTTGTTTTTGTATATTTCCTCATAGTGAACAGATAGGAGCACATTCCTTCCTGGAGTTTAGTCTTGCCCTTAGGGCTAAACATTTTCCGCTTTCATCCTTCCAGATGTGATAGCAGCAAGGTAACATATTTACAGAAAATAAGAATGTTTAGAAATCTTCTAAAGCTTATACTTTGGTACTTGATGCTTAAAAAAAAAACATTTCCAGATATACTATGAATGAGGTCACGGTGTGCAGGCAGTTACTGAAGGCGTTATAGTACATCATCCAGGCAGGAAGAAGTGCTGAGGTCATACACCATGCAGTAAAAAGCAGGCAGCTGCTGAGGTCAATGAAAAGTACACCGAGATCTCATGAAAACTGCTGAAGTAATAACAACATAATACACGTAAGAAGAATGGCTGACGCTATAGCTCAGTGTATTTGAAGCAGAGGAAATTGCACAGTACTGGTACACTTAGAGACTCTAATTTGCTGAGAACTACATTGAGTAGGCAGAATGTCTCATTTGTAAAAGCACAAGAATTGCACAGCAGCGGAGGTCAATGCAAACTAGACTGATGGTGACTATTGTGAAGTGTTTGCATAGTAGTATACTGAGGGACAGGAAAAGGAGGTAAACACACAGTAGCCATGGAGATTAATGATAACAGTACAATGATCATTAGTAAGCATGCTAAACTTGTTCTAATTTACTTTGCATGCTGACTAGATCTACAAGAACAGTGCTAAAGCTCCATAGGCTGAGATAGTATTGTCCTCAGCTGGGTGCCCTGAGTCAGCAAAGGCCATGCGAGTCTGTAAAATCCAATGGGGGTGGATTCTTGCCTTTATTTGGATTAAAGGTGGCCATACACTGCTCAAATGTTGTCCGAGTCCTGCTGAACAAAATTCAACCGGTGTGCATCCCAGTTGGCAACCCTCCATTCGGCAGAAGTTGATTTTGCTTACTGAGTTCTGTCAAAGGAGCGGATTTGAAAATTCTTGGTCGAACAGTGACAGCAGCCAATCAGTTGTCAGCATACCTGCCGCTGTCAGAGTAAAACTACCCAGCGCATGGAGGGTTGTATCCTCCTATCCCTAATATTTAGTTGGGGAAACAAAGAGATTTTTCCTGTGCAAAAACTGTATGGCCAGCACAAATAGGGTGTGTTGGTGTTTTTTCAAGGCTGAATTGTATAGGCAAATGTAGATTTCAAATTATGTCATTTGCAGAAAGTCATATAAAACTCAAACTTTCCATAGGCCCGATCCACACCTGTGAGTGTGCACCACGTAGACATGAATGCGTGTTTCACATACATTAAAAAGGAGAACTATAAGGTGAGTGATTTTCACTGATCCTCATAGTTCGAGCCGACGTGTGACAATGAAACTGTCACACGTAGGCTCAATAGATCGGGAAGTAAGCAAACACATACCTTCACTCACTCACTTCCCGATCGTCTCCCTGCAGACAGCCGTGGCTGTCACTCACGGCTCCCTGCAGGGATTCCCCCCACTCCGCTCCGATCCTCCAGCGTTGACTGGGGGAAGGGACGGGGTGGGTACAGCTGGCTCTGCCTCTAGCTAGGCAGAGCCAGCTGTCACTCTCGCAGCTGAGTGGATCTCGACAGTAATGTTGGGAGTGCTGCAATGGTCTCAGTACACCGCGAGCTGTAGCTCGCGATATACTGAGCTTTGGGTGACGGGAGGTCGCTAGTATATGTCCTCCCGTGACCCTTAGGAGAACTATGGGGAAAAACACGTACCCCATAGTTCTCCTTTAAGGTGTGGGACATTTAGGCAGCCTATTTATTTCAATGATCGAAAATGTGCTTGCACCTTTTTATTAAAATACGCCACACCACCTTTTGTATTTTCATTTTGGAGCACTATAATGCATGTGTGCTGGCAGGCGTGTTTAAAGTGTAAAAAAAATGCATTTTGTGCGCTGCAGGAACGTGTGTGATTTCAGCGCACAGGTATGAATGGGGATTTAAAGAATTTGTCATTTTACATTTTTATTTGCTTTATTATTCAGAGTGTTGACAATTATTGTGGGATTTGTGAAAGCAATGCTAGCCAAACTTGGGTATAGTTTATTGTGGGGATTACACTCTGTTAAGTATGTTAAGGGCAGTGTGGTGATAATCATTTGGATGTAATGAAAACAAATAATAGTAAAGGTAAATACATGTAAATGTGTAAATGTACACACTGTATGTACAGGAGACAGGCCCATGTCCATGGGAACTGATTGCACAGCTGTGGCCAGAAAGGAGATTTTGGCCAGGAGGTACTGAAGATCCCTGGGGGCTGTGGCTATCTAATTCAGGTAAGTATGCATTTGGGCTGGAGGAAGGATGATTAGTTTAAGTAAGGCCATAGGCAAAATGGATAATTGTATTTTCTCTAAAGGTTCAGCTATTCTTTATACCTGCCACGTGTTTTCATTTAATGCACTCAGAATTGGTTAAGGTCAAATTTGGAGCATTAACTGTAAATAGATAGTGTAGTTAATGAGCTTGAAAAAAGACTGATGTACTCAAAGTGCAGCCTCATACAACTCCTGCAGCTTTGGTCAAGATGAAGGCAAAAACAAACTCCCTCTGCAAATGTTGGCAATTAAGCAACTCAGGATAAAAAAAATCCCCAAAAGGTCAGGGATCAATTTATTGGATGAAAATATTGCTGACTTAGACTTTAGTATTATAACTCTGGATATTATTACATCATCAATACCAGGTAACATCACAAGCATCACCAAACAGAAGCAGTTCCAGCCATCACATTAAGGGTGAGGTAATTAAATGTTTAACCAAATATAGCAGGCTATTTTTTTTTCTTATGTTATAAATATTTAAATGGTCCTTGGCAGAAAAAAGGTTCCCGACCCCTGCTCTAGACACTGATATTT